TCAATTTTCATTTGTAAAATACATAATACTAGCAGACCCGGCGAACCTCGTCCCGCCCAAAATTTGTATTTATTTTATTAAGACTTTTTGGTCCAACATTTTCACCAACAATTCACGTTTACGATTTTCCTTGGCACTTTTACCTGCTAAGATTATGGTTTGGTGGTCATTTGCCGCTTTAATTAACCTAAAGAAAGTGTTATGTCCGTGAAGAAGTCCTTGAAATTCTCCAGCTGTGCAGCACGGTTATTCGCAAAACGAAGTAAATTTGAAGAATTTCTTTCTCTTCACTCCCTGGAGACAACAATGAATCTGTCCTAGAAGCTTTACAGTATAGTTGGTGGAAATTTCATAATTGGTACGAATCATTGTTCTACAGAAATGCAAATAAATTAAAAGCTTGAACGCATAATAATAATATTGGAAAATCACATCCATTGGGCTAATCGTAACACATGAGAGTTCGATATACTCAATGGTGCAACAGGCCGAATTAGTCTGACATTTACTGCACCTTTTCTCACTTGTCGATTTTTAGTAATAACTCGACCTCAGCACCACCTGGCAGCTGTTTTTTGCAATAGTATTGCTCTTACCATGACTAATACATATTTAAAATATTAGCCAAATCGATTCATAAATAAGGTTTTTAGTAATAACTCAACTACAGCGCAACTGGCGGATTGAATTGTGAAACTAAACCATCCAGAGACCCACTCAAACACACAAACAATTTCGTTAAAATCCGTACAATCATTTAGGAGGATTTCACTCACAAACACACCTACAGAAGAATGATAAATACATTCAAAGATAGCTAAAAGTCGGTACGTTTGTAGGCCTCACGCCCCCTTTTCAAATAGCCCCAATTTTCTCCATGAGTATGGGCTTGATTTCATATACATACAAATCTCCATACGAAGTTCCAGTACTCTACCATGAATATTTTCAGAGATGTGCAGTATAAAATTTCGGTTTGTATGGGAGGTGCCACGCCCCCTTTACCAATAGCTCCCATTTTTCTTCATGAGTATGCGATAGATTTCATATATCTCCATACTAAGTTCCAATACTCTACCATGGACATTTCCAGAGATATGCAGTATGAAAAATTCGGTTTGTATTGGAGGTGCCACGCCCCCTTTTCCAATAGCTCCTATTTTTCTCATAGAGTATGCGATTGATTTCGTATATCTCCATACAAAGTTCCAGTACTCTACCATGAACACTTCCAGAGATATGCAGTATGAAAAATTCGGTTTGTATGGGAGGTGCCACGCCCCCTTTTCCAATAGCTAAAATTTTTCTTCAGGATTATGCGATTGATTTCTTATATCTCCATACCAAGCGTCAGAACTCTACCATGAACACTTTCAGAGATATGTAGCATGAGAAATTCGGTTTGTATGGGAGGTACCACACCCCTATTTTCAATACAGTGAAACCCGCTTAAGTACCCCCCCGCTTAAGTACCTAACCCGCTTAAGTAACCAAAATTTTTGGGCACCGTGAATTTTTTAATGTAATCTGAAGAAAATTCCTCTCTTAAGTACCTCCCCGCTTATTTACCCAACCCGCCTAAGTACCTCAATTTTTCGTGCCCCATTTACCATTTTACTCATAACTTTCCTTTTTTTAAGTGCTCTTTTAAAATTCCTTAAAATATTTACATATTTTGAATCTCAGTGGCAGCGTTACACACCTTCGGCAAAAAAATTATAAAAAATCAACGGTAATTTTGAGCCACTTGAAGCTTGCACATTATTACAATAAAATTGAATGGGCTATAAAACTATATACTCGAAAAACACATCTGAGGAAAAAAAGTTTAAATTTTGGTGAATTTTTTTCTTTACGTGTTCTATAAAATCTTAAGCTTAGGTTTTCATGGTATTTGTTAGGGAATGAACTATATTTTAATTGAAAAATCTTAAATAAATATGTATACTTCATTAAATGTTTATGTTTTTTCAAGGATTTACATATTTATGTAAGTTAACAAAAAGATGTAACTACATCAATGATTATGCTCGCTTAAGTACCCGCATCGAAGTACTAAAGCGGGTTCTTTTAAGTACCCAACCCGCCTAAGTACCTCAAAAAGCTGACATTTTTCGTGAGGTACTTAAGCAGGCTTTACTGTAGCTCAAATTTTTCTCCAAGGGTATGCGATTGGTTTCGTTTGTCTCCATACGAAGCTCCAGAACTCTATCACGAACACTTCCAGAGATATGGAGTTTGAAAAAATTCGGTTTGTATTGCAAGTGCCACGCCTCCTTTACATATAGAATTTTTTTTAGCCGTAAACCATCCTTGAACACGTGCGGCAGGTGTCTGAAGTTTCAAAATAATCGGTTCAGCCGTTCTTGAGCTTTGCGAACACTAAAAAACGGCTTTCGAAATATATTAGTATATATATATTATATATCATTACTATATTTTGGCTGTATCTGTTGTTTCTGATTGCCGCGAAAAAAACTTGCCTATTGACGAATTCGCCCCTTGATATGGTGGTTGCTCAAAGCTATTTATGTTCGAAATTGCTACCTACGTACAAAATTTTAATCAAATCGGACCATAGATAAGATTTCTCGAATAGATCGGTCCCTGGTCCACTTCGCGGAAAAGAGGATCCTATATGCTAATCTAGGCAAAAAGCTACCCACGCACCAAATATTAAGCAAATCGGACCATAAATACGATTTTTTCGAATAGATCGGACCCTGGTCCACTTCCCGGAAAAAGGATCCTATAAGATAATCTAGGCAAAAAGCTACCTACGTACCAAATTTTAAGCAAATGGGACCATAAATACGATTTTTTTCGAATAGATCGGTCCCTGGTCCACTTAACAGAAAGAAAAGGATCCTATATGCTAATCTCGGCAAAAGGCTACCTACATACCAAATTTAAAGGAAATCGGACCATAATAAGATATTTTCGAATAGATAGGTCCCTGGTCCACCTACCGGAAAAAAGTAAATTTTTGTTTGGCCTAAAACATGGTGGTTGCTGAAGGCTATATTTATACAAAACTTCATGAAAGTCGGACCAGCCGTTCGCGAGATTACCTGTTACAAAAAACTTCTCTTTATATAATTAGTATAGAGTATAGATATACTAGATGTGTATTATACATACATATGTAAATACATATGTACATACATATGTATGTGCATACATACGTAAATTAATTTTTGGAATTTACCAATCCATTTTTTTAATTTTTAATTGACTTCACAAAAAGGAGAAAGGTTATCAATTCGTCGGAATATTTTTATTTTTTTATGCATAACTTTGGACCACGTTAACCGATTTCTATAAATAAAGGAAAGGTGTTACCTCACAGGTGGGCCCATATTAATTTGGTTTAAATCCGATCATCGGATCATGAAGAAATTAACGATAATCTTAAATTTTTATATGACAATTGATGACGGTTTTGTTTTTTGCTAAAAAATTACTTGTAAATAATCAAGAACTCCATTTTAAAGTTATGTTCTTTTTGAGAAATGGTTGTCAAACAACAAAAATTACAGTCGAAAACAAGCAACACATGCAGTCTTCACGAGAGACATCTTGCTTGCTTCTAAAGTAAGCGGCGGCTAGTAGGGACGTTTCCTTGCTTGTGACTGTGTGTCTGTCGACTTGGTGAGTTTTATCTTGATTAAATTTAGGTTTGGAAAGGCGCTATTTTTTCGATTTTTTTTTTTTCTTAAGTATCTTATACTAAATCCAATTTATTTACTCCAAAAATGTTAGGCCATAACTAAAAACCACACGTTTTTATGTAACTTTAAAAAAGGTCAAAACGTAGAATTGTATGTGCTGATGTTAACGTTTTTTTCTTCCTTGGGAAAAAAATTTAAATATCAGTTAGGACCAGTCCACATTTCAGCAACGAGAGTTCATATAGTTAGATGACTTAATCCATGTTTTATTTTAACAGATTCCAAGGGCTGCCCTTATATCCTTAAGCAAGTACTCGATTGTTAATATTTACTAGGTTTTCTATACATATTTATGTATGTATATCGATAATTGCTAGCTTTCCTATGGTTTCCTGACACCTGAGTAAAACACAACGAATTGCCCACACATACGGTCTTTCAACACTTAAACAGCGTTCCAACCGAATAGGAAGCCTGGCAACGAACGACCAACCAAGCAATCAGAAAGCATAGAGAACCTGTTGGCAGGTCATTTCAAAAGCCAAGACTAGTAAACAATAAAGCAACCAACTGAGAAGAAAATGTATACATCCACCTTCGTTAGTTGGAACAACTGTCTTTGTTGCCGTTGAGGTTTTCGTGTCTGTTGGTAGCTCGTTCGTTGTCGTTCACCATCGCCGACCGATATGTGACCAGGGTTGCCGTTTTGGGCTTTTTCTACCAAAATTTGTAGGTTTTTTTCGCGTCGGTAGGATGGTAGGATGCTTCAAATTTTTGTAGTTTTCCTTGCTCATAAAACAGAAAACAGCTCTGGTTATTTTGCCGGCGCTGTCAGTAAATACGTTTGAAGATATACATGGAATATATTCGTCTTTTTTCTGCAAATCATGAATAAAAGGATACATTGTGTACGCCCATGATTCAATAATACAAGGTTAGATAATTATTGACAGCCGCGGTTTGACACTCCCTTACAAAAGGTTGCATTTACGAAGGATGGGTAAAGGGGAGGAATGAAATCCATTGCTGCTAAATTGGTGGTAGAAAAGTACCCAAAGCAGGCAAATAGTAGTGACATTTCTGGCATTTTAAACGAAATATTGAACGAAATTTTAACATATCTATGTGAATTACGCAAAAACAAAACTACTATGATATTTATGTAAACAGCAAATTTAAAAAGAGTTTATGTTTTCATCAGTTAAATATGCTTCATATGCATATACAAATAAACATATTGCACAAAAGCTTATACTTCTTTTTCATAGCAAAGCAACACTTTTTCCAAGTAAATTTGCAAAGAAGCAACACTTTGCCACTGCTAAGGGAGCGGTGCGAGAGAGACAACTGTCAGTTTATCGAACCTTGTATTATTGAATCATGGTCTACGCCTTGAATAGTTGAAGCAATGAGAGCTCATCAAATTTCATTCTAGCATATCGCACACTATCTTCAAAGGTGACAGAACTCAAAATTACACGTTTGTCAGAAAATACGACAAACTATTTCTTAGCACATGCTAATCATATTGGCAAGGGAGACTTTAACTTAGGTTTTTGCAATTATAAAAAAAAAAATGCTCCAGATTTTGCGGAATGGTAAATAAAAGCTCTGTGTGCATTTTTAGCGCATCATTTCAACAATGATAAATTTTGAATTACGTCGCTTTTGATGACCGTGTGCGATATGCATGTATGTGTGTCAAAAATATATGTATAAAGAGAATTTTCTGGGGGTCTACTCTGTATTACGATTCGAAGAGCAAATCATTCGAATTCAAATGCTTGGCACTATGAATTTGTATTAGTCCGTATACAGAGTATAGACCTCCTGCTTATCTGTAAAAGTCATGATGTAGAGAACAAAGGTGGCGCCCATCTCGATACCGCTAATGAATTTGACAGAATCGCTGTTTGTATGACGTCACACTTGTACAACTTGTTTACGTTGTTCTTGCAAAATTTCTTCTTCCATTCTTGCTCGCAAATGCTCCAGTGTGAGCTTACACAATTATTATTCTCTCTGATTCTTGTGTAAAAGTACAACTTCCTGTGTAAGATACAAACATACCATGCATAAATACATACAAATATACTTATGATGATTTAGTATTATTTTTGCAAATTTGAAGGCTATTAAAAGAATTATTGTGATCTCTTTTGTTTACCTAAGAAAATTTATTTCAATTTCAAAAAGGTGCCATTCTTTTCGATTCTTTTCCTTTAGCATTAAAATCAGGAACATCTTCCTAAAACAAAAGTCCAATGCCAAAGTAAGATAAACCAGTTGTATACACTATAGAAATTAGAAAATTTTAGTTAACAAAAAGAAATACACGCAAAGAATTTCACTAAAATGTATTGAAATATTACTATTTTTTCAATAGTGCTATTTTGGCACTTCGTGCCAAATTGAAAAATTAATTGCGATTTAAAGTAAAGTAGGGTCAAAAATGGCGCGATTTGAGCCAAGTTGACAGCCCTGGCTGTGCTCCCCATCCGAACCAGATGTCTTGTTAACTCACGCGCTCTAAAGCTACTGCTGTGTTGCGTCTTCTACTCACCGCAGCAGCGAGCGAACTCAACATAAATCAACTCACCATCCAGAGTTGGCCCATCCGCCCGATGTAACGCATTGCATTGCACCGATATCTACCGTTTTGGTGCGACTCATTCGTCGTCATTTTGTTAGTCAGTCATCGACACTGGAGCAGTGGAGTTATTCAGTTTTTCTTTTGTTGCTAATTTTCGGCATCCATCAGCGAGCGTAGCTAACAAAAATACGAAATACTCGATTGAACTACTGTGTAGTACTGAAAATACTAACGAAAACAAAGTACGATTGTCGCAAAGGAAGTGCAAACGCAAGTAAATACTGTGCGAACGTATGTATGTATGTATTTATGTAATACCCCTTTCAGACGCGTTAAGTCTTGCTTTCAAGTCTGCTCGGTTCGTAGGCGAAGGAGGTGGGAAGAGAGGGGAAAAGTACATTCGTCTCACCTCCTTCGCCTACGAACGAGCAGACTAGAAATCAAGACTTGACGTGTCTGAAAGGGGTCTAATAAGTACTTCAATTGTTTTCAAATCGTATACGGCGTTCTTGGCGCGGTATGAGATGTATAAATGTTTTAAACAATTTCGTAGTTGTTTATGCGAGCTACAATTGAGCGAATGCTTTATAAATAAAAACAGCAAAAACATTTTTATTACAAGCGTTAGCAGAAATTGCTGCCACTTCAACAAGAGATATAATATACTCAGTCTATTCCACAACGACAGATATAACAATAGGGTTGTTCAGGATGTTGTGGAAAGGTTCTTGGATTTGCAGTTGGAATTGCATTTGGAAATTTTTTGCTTGCTGCCATGGCAACCGTCTCCATTGTATTGTTGTGAATTTACAAATACAACGAATATGCAAATACAAACGCATATGCAAAAGATCCTGAACAGCCCTAATAACTTAATATAAATACTATGTTTACACCGACTGTTGCAGTAAACATATTCACTTATTATATGTGTGATATACATAGTACATACAGTGTATTGGCCATACAATAGCACCCCCATTTTAAAGTGATGTGATATTGTTTAACACTTATGATTATTTATTTTTAGGAATTTTCAATTAAAATACAGTTCATTCCCTAACAAAACTCATACAAACCTACGTTTACAACTTTTTAAAAGACTAAAAAAAAAATGCAACAAATTTTCTCCTAAGTTTTTCCACAGAAGTGCTAGAATTTTTTTGAGTACACAGTTTTATAGCCCATTCAATTTTAGTATCATAAGGGGCCAGTTTAAAGTCGCTAAAAATTACCGTTGATTTTTTAGACTTTTCTTCGCCGAAGGTGTTGCGGGTTTCTTACATATAAAAAAATACATTAAGGGTATTCATCAAACCTTATAAATGCATTGTAAACCGTATAAACTTATAATTGTGTAAACCTTATAAATGAACTATCAAAATTTGTTTACACATTTCTGATAAATTTCTCCAGCGATTTCACTGAGGCTGCGTTTCTTTATAAATTCCGGATAATCCCATTTCACAGCCGGAATAAACAGAATGCTTTTGAAATATACGTTAACATATCATCAGGAACGTTCTAAAGAATAAGTAAACAAAAAAGTTTATTCCAAACGTTCAGAATGAATAAAGAAATTCAGCCTGAATAAACTTGATAAACTGAAACCAATGCAACTCTGTCGCAACTCTAGCTATGTTTTCTTGGGCAACAATCGGGATCCGCATACAAATTTTGCACGCAAATTCAACAACAACGATATGATCCTAATAGAGATCTGGTTCAATTATTATCCAGTCTGTTTGTTTTATTTCACTGATAATTTGGCCGCAAAGTTTGGTAGCCGTGACAAATGAATTCACACACAAACAGACATTCTGCCATTGTTTCTTTTAACTTGCTTCAAATAAATATCCTCTATGTTATATGTATGTATATTTATTTAAATAGATATTATCTCGTAAATATATTTTTTTCCAATTTAGTGAGGTAGTTTCTATAATTTCTTTATACCCGTGCTAGTAGTATAAAGTTAGTGATACTGAGCTCTATAACCAAAGAAAACACGACAGTTACATATGTAAGACTTAAACTTGACTTGAGTTGAAACCCAAAAAACCAACTTAAATTAGAAACTTGGAGAACTAAAGATTTTTGATTTCTAAGTGCAAAGAGAGCCATGAGAGAATCATGCTGTCAGTTAATTTCTTCATAAAATTTCTACAAATATGCCCCACAAATATAATTTTTCGAATAAATGTAATTGATCTGGCAATCGAAAAAAAAAAATTCAAATACATTTTTTTTAATAGTAATTTTGTAGCAATTTTGGTGTAAAAACAAATACAATTTTACGTGTGCATATACAAGTGCTGAGAATCAAAATAAAAAGAAAAGGTAATAGGTGACACGCTGAGTAATCGCGTTTCTAGGTAAGCCAAGTTTGGTCTAAATTTCCATAACCTAGCTTTAAGACTAAAATTGAATGGGCTATAAAACTGTGTACTCGGAAAAATTCTAACGCTTCTGAGAAAAAAATTTGAAATTTGAGTGAAATTTTGTTGCATTTTTTGTAGTATTTTGAAAAGTTTTAAACGTTTGAAATTTCTTAAAAATAAATCGTCACTAGACACGAATAAAGGCGCGAGCTCAAAAGTTGACGGCGAAAAAAGACGCATAAAAAAACTTTAGCGTCAAAGACTCTTAACATACTTCGCCGAAGTTTTTCATAAGGCTCTTTTTCGCAAAATTTTTTTACGCGCCTTTTTTCGCCGTCAAAACACTAGCGCGCCTTTATTCGTGTATAGTGACGACATAATTAAACAAAAGTGGTAAACAATATCACTTTGAAATGGGGGTGCTATAGATATGTACGTACGTGATATTAGGGTGGTCCAAAAATGCATGTGAAAAAGTCGGAATTTTTATGCTCTCACCCCGTAGGATTATTCTATACCAAAAAAATATATATCCTTATTATTTTTATTTTGAAATCAAGTTTTCCATGTATTTTGTATGGGGAAAAACAACTTTTCGTAGAAATGGTATAGAATTCTTAAAAAGCAATATTTTTCTACCAGAAAACTCTGTTTATCTGCAGGAGATTCCCAATAATAATACCCAAATGTTTATTTAACCATTTTTTCATCTATAAATTATAGGTCCGCCAAAAACCCACGAAACCCCCGATAAATGCAATGGGGCGTCCAATAAAAAATGGTTAATATTAAAAAATGGTTAAATAAACAATTGGGTATTATTATTGAAAGTCTCCTGAAGAGAACCATAGTGTTCCGATCGAAAAATATTGATTTTCAAGAACTCTATACCATTTCTACGAAAAATTTTATTTTTCCCATATGTAAATACATGGAATACTATGAGCGCTTTGAGCGACCTTTAAATATTTTTTTGATTTCAAAATAAAAAAATAGGGGTATACTTTTCTTCGATATAGAACATTCCTAGGGGGTGAGAGCATTACAATTCGGACTTTATATGTATTTTTGCTTAGTTTCTTAATGACACATGAGAAAAGATCCCATATTACAATTCGTAAATCTAACTGTCCATAGTTTTAATTTTTTCATTTATAAAAACTAATTCTCAATTTCGTATTATTGTTAATAAAATTGTCATTTTTCATTTTTTATTTTATTTGCAGTAATCCTTAAAATGAACATCACGCTCGAAAATACGCCACTTACTTGGCGAATATGGACAGTCTTTGCTCCAAGGAACTTATTTCTGAGCATGTAAATCCACCACAAGTCGAGAGGAAAATGATCACGTGAGCCGAAACACTATCATTTCATTCTAAAGATCAGAAACTGAGACCTGTTAACGGTGGAAGTGTTTACTGGCTCAAAGTTAGTAATCACGACCTTTCCGCTTACCTAGTTAATGGCATTAGTGGTTTCGATTATATTCGGTGTAATACTTGGTGTTCCATAAATAGTTACACTTCGGCGCTTCGTGTTTCATTAGTGCGGGGCGCTCAAAGTTGGGACCAAAGTGGCAACTAGAGACTGGTGCGACACGACGGTGACGACAAAACTGCAACAGAAATTTGTATTTATGGATGCTGGAGGCATTCCTGTCTTTCAGAGCGCCAGCCAGGCAGCCGCCGCAGCCCAACACCAACAGCAAAAACAACAGCAGCAACAACAACAACAGCGTCAACAACAGCTAACCCTACAACTCCAGCAGCATCAACACTTACAACACCATCAACTGCAGCAACAACAGCAGCTACATCAGCAACAAACGATTGGATTGCACCTGCAGCAACATCAGCAACAACAACTACACAATGTGCAGCAGCAACAACAGATACAGGTGCAACATCACCAGCAACAGTCGAATGGACAACAACACCAACAGCAGCCACAATACAACACAGCTCCACCAGGAACAGCGGGCCCAGGAGGCGGAATTGGCGGCGGCATTGGCCTTGGCGGCGGCGGAGCTGGCAGCACTGCAGGAGCGACTGGAGCGGCAGCAGCAGCGGTTGGAGGAGCTGGCGGCATGGGCGGCCTCATCGGCCCCGGCAACAACGTTAACGGGCCAGCGCTTGGCAGTAACAACAACCAAATACACAACCAGGGCGGTTGCGGGCCCGAAATTGTGCCGCCGAAGCGGCAGCAAATGGTTGATAGACTTAGGCGCCGCATCGAGAACTACAGGCGTCGGCAGACGGACTGTGTGCCGCGTTATGAACAGACATTTAACACAGTATGCGAGCAGCAGAATCATGAGACGGCGGCATTGCAGAAGCGTTTCCTTGAGAGTAAAAACAAGCGCGCCGCCAAGAAAGCGGAGAAAAAGCCAACGGAGCCTGCATCGGCTCCGATGATGGCAGGCAATCTACAAAGCAGTGTTCATGTGGTAAGTTTAATCTATGTATATATGTACATGTGTACGCGTGACATTTTATACTGAGCCTACAAAAAATATTAGGGGGGTCACTAAACAAGTCGGTTTGAATCCGCAACACTAATACCATTTGAGTCGATCTGACATTTGCAACGTAAAATTTGATTTTTTTTTA